GTCTGGCGTCGGTGCCAGGGACCGACCTACTTTCGGTGTTATCCGAGTGTCGTGACTGTAGGCTGAGCCGGTGCCTAGGCACAAGGTGTCACCTTCCTCGCAGGTGGGTTTAGAGGCCCGTGTAGCTAAGTCACGACGGAAGCGGCTTTCGCTGTGTAAATCTGGAAAACTCCTGTGAACTTACTCTGTGTTTATAGCCGACCCGAGTCTCCCTGGACTCGTAGCTAAACCTCACATTGGCTTCAGAGAGAGAAGAATTAGGCCCGTGCGTTGGCAAGTGAAAGCAGAGTTTGATCTGTCACGCTGGGAATAGTAGATTATTCAAATTTCTCAAGTTTTCTGAGTTGTGTCCTATTATTTGCTGCTATAGTAATCAGTGTGACGGAGGATCTGATCTCAGTAGCTAGGCGTATTTCTAACATTGCAAAGCGTAAAAGTATCCAGAGCCGTTTGGAATATATGCCTAAATGATAAGGACTCAATCCTTTAGTACTTTTTCAGGTAAAATGTCCGATCGAGCCGTGGGAGTCCTGGCTGAGAAAAGTACTGATCGCTGCGAACAGCAGTGTTTTCAGTCTTTCAGACTCCATTAGCTTCCATATGTTTTTGCAGAGGAAAAATAACTTGAGATATTTAGAGAAGAAAAAAGCTGCAATGCAGCTCTTACTATGTATGTATTGTAAGATACTGATTGCAGCCATCAGCCCAAGCGAAAGGAAGAAAAAATCTCTAGGGAGGCCTAGAGGGTTAAAAAAATGAGTTTGTGATGTGAAAAGTCTCTGATGGATGAGCATCATACTAGCTGAAATCGTGTCATTGGTAATTTCATAGATTATTCTTGTTTTATTCCTTCTGCCTCACCTCAGCTATCAGTTTGTCCAAGATTTAAGTTTCATGAAACTCATATCCAGGCTGGCAAGATCATTGTCAGGCTAGAAGATGTAGGAATAGAAGTGTCGTGTAAACCAGGACTATGATCCATCCTAATACAGAAGTAAATGATTTGAGCTGGAGTAGCAGCTATGGACTGCTGGGTTTGAGTTGTGCCATGCATACTGCACACAGGGGGAGGAAAATTATGAGAGAAGCATTTTCTGGGACCCAAGCAATCCCGAGTTAAGAAAGGTGGAAAGGAAATGGCACAGTAGGTTCTGCCCCTTCTCTGTTTTTTAGCCCTTGTGGAAGGGAGCGCGTGCTGCATTCTCAGAGAACATGTAGCAGGCTTGCGCGGGGAGCTCTGTACCTCAGGCAGGTCAAAAGGGTACACAGTATTTTTTGTTGTTCTGACCATCTGCCATGATGCTACTATGCGGCTGTGCTGCTGTGGCTGAGTAGCCGTTGAGTCCTAAGATAGTATCCAATGTTGTCGTAAGTTATTTTGTTGTAAATTCTTTAAGACTGCAAATTCTTCAGCATGTCCATACATGGCTAGGCATAGTATGATGTGCAGAATGTGCTGTTCAGAGAGATTGTGAATGCTAGCCAGAAACTACAGGTTTATTAGAAAGCTAACTTGAAGTTTCTCCAAGCATTTTGCTGAACTTTTATGAGATGGTCTGTTTTTAAATACTTACTGTTACTATATTAGGTAATTTAGCAAGTCTGAGGTGCTAGCCTTTTATAGAATGTGATGTGAAGGGCACTTTTTGTTTATAGAGATACATTTTGAGGTCAGTACATCTGTTCCAAAGTTATCAGATTAAAATGTCAAACTAGTGTTAATTGGTTTACTGGAGACAAATAATACCTGGGTGTTTTACAGTTGCTGTTGTTAAAAGGCAGTTATCTTTTGCAAACAACTACTACATCAGTTAAACACCTCATTTATCTGCATAGGAAAACACAGAGGAGACCATTAGCTCCTAAACTTTATTGATTCCCACACTGCCTTCTTAAAAAGCTCGTATTTAAAGTTCTACATATAACTGTCGGCTTGTGAACATCTGCTTTAAGCTGCAATATCTTAATGAGTACTTTCAGACTGCAAAGTAAATGAAATGCTTAAGAACGCTTAGAATGTTTGATTACAACACTTTTAAAATTATTTCCATTTTGTGGTAGTGAATCAAAACGAGAATGAATGAAGCAGTCTTTGTGGGCAGATTCAACAGATGAAGGTTTCCAGGTACTCAGTCAACCTGGGAGCTCTTCAGAGTCAGCTTAGCAAAGTAGCTGGGTTAGTCATAGATGTCATCAGCTACCCTCCCCCCCCGCCCCCAAGGCTGAGGTGAGGGTGTTTGGCTTGACAAGGAAACAGTTTTCTGTTCCCTGGGGAAAAGAATAGATCATCTAAATGAAGAAAGCAGTGGAAACTCAGAAAAAGGCATGAAGCCAAAGACTGCAAATTGTCCTCCTGTATATGGGTGAGGAACCTGGAGTTCCTCTGATGAAAGCTGATGACTTTTCAGAAGAAAAGAATGAGATGAGACTGTGTGACTAGAAAGCGAAGGGAACAAATTGTGAATAATGTGAGCTGCTAACATTTATTCCCTGGTTATGGGAGGATGCCCCTTAAAGCAAGAAAAAAAGAAAGCGTTTCAAATAGCTCTTTTGGGAGGAGGGATGGAGGAGAAAAATGAGTGCTTTCTCATATAACAGGATTGCTTTATCTTAAATCAGTCATACTGCATATTACTGGACTTCAGCTATCGTTTTATAGCACCAAGATTCTATCCGTAGAAAGAAAAGTCATAGTCTTCCAAAGTTATGCTGCGCATCAGAAGTTTCAAAGCTCTGTTCAGTAACAGCCTTGTTTCTTCTCTCTTTCCATAGAAAAATCCCTAAACTATAGTTTTTTGAACCGGAGGTCGAGTCTGTGATTCTGGAAATTACATTTCCGTAAAATGTTAGAGAACATCAGTAATGCCATATATCTTGGAGGTGTGTCATTGTTTTATCCTTGAAAGCAAAGGGAGCTATCTCCCACAGTTGAGGCAGAACTCAGATGGCATTACTCATGGGGCTTGCTGCACCACTGGAAGATCTGACCATAGAAAAAGTATGTCATGGTCCTGGAGGAACATTGCAAACAAGTTTCAGTCCAATATTGGCAGGTTTCTGTGTGGACGCAGTACCTAAACAGAAAATTACACTCAGTTCAGCCTGCCCTACCTTTCAAGTAGATCAATCTTCGATGCATACTCTTCTCTCGTGCTTGGAGTCTCGTGCTTCACTAGCAGACATAAAAAAACATTCTGTCCATCACAGCCTGCTGCTGCTACTAGATAAGGCCAAATCGCCAAGCATTCTGCTGGCATGCTTTCCTGGTACCTTTATATCTTGGCCTGATTCTGGTGTTTGCACGGAGATCGTCCTATGCAAGTAATTTTTGAAGTCTTTTCCGTTGACAATGCCAGTTCCTGTGCAGGGGAGTCTTTTGTCCTTTTAAATATGGGGACTCTCATTTATCTTGATCGTTTCCGTCTCAAACTTTAAACCTTGTAAGCAGCCTAATGTTTCCCTAAATAATAATGTCTGCAGGCAGCCGCATTCCACTTCTCTAACTTACTAAAATCCTGGACCAGGACACACAAAGTCTGTATGACTTTCTTTGTGTGCTGTGCAGGTTCTTATATGGCAGTCCGCCTCCAATATAAGTGCATGAGAGCTAAATATTCGGGAGTTAGATTCAGGACCTACAACCAGCCTGCCTCCAGGGAAAGAAAGAGGAGTGATCACTTGGAGCTGAAGCTAAATGATATGTAAAAATGGGAGACGTTCAAGAGAGCAACTCAACCTATCCATCTGCTTATAGTATTTATTTGCCCGATAGTGTGGATCTGAAACTTTGAAATGAAAGTATTTATTTCTGGCATGTGTAGATGCATTATTGCACACTTGTGTAATTCCCAAACACAGCGTGGAAGCCAGAAAGGTAGTCCAGCAAGTGTTTCTGGAACACTGATAACACGATTTTGGGAGCTAGTAAATGACAACTTGTACATTAAGGAACCTGCCAAATAAGGCTTCGTCGGAAAACTGTACTTTTAGGAGTACGTGAAGGCATGTGTAAACTCCCTGGTTGACTCCAGAGATAAACAAATCCTGATTGTGGTTGAGGATTAACTCTAGGACTGGTTGGTGGGGCTGATTAATTATCCTGTAGAGTGTGAGAGAAAGAGGGGGAATTAGATTGACAGGGAGGTATAACAGAATCTGATGAACAGAGCCATTATAGCTCTGGCTGTTATTTCCTGGACTCTGAACTGCAGTCCTCCAAGACTGATACTGAGGTAATGTGTTACAACAAGT